ATAAGGACAAGTGCAGGGTCCTGCACCTGGGGAGGAATAACCCCAGGCATCAGTACAGATTAGGGGTCGACCTGCTGGAGAGCACCTCCACGGAGAGAGACCTGGGAGTCCTGGCTGACACTAAGTTAACCATGAGTGAGCAGTGTGCCCTCATGGCCAAGAAGGCCAATGGGATCCTGGCCTGCATCAGGAGGAGTGTTGCCAGCAGGTCAAGGGAGGTGATTCTGCCCCTCTACTCAGCTCTGGTGAGGCCGCACCTGGAGTACTGTGTACAGTTCTGGGCACCCCAGTATAGGAGGGACGTGGAGCTTCTCGAGAGGGTCCAGAGAAGGGCAACCAGGATGATTAAGGGAATGGAACATCTCTCGTATGAAGAGAGGCTGAGTGAGCTGGGCCTGTTTTCTCTGGAGAAGGCTCAGAGGGGATATGATTAATGTGTATAAGTTCAGGAAGGGAGAATGCAGGGAGGAAGGGGACAAGCTGTTTGCACTGGTGGCCAGCGATAGGACGAGGGGTAATGGCCACAAGCTGAAGCACAAGAAGTTTCGTCTCCAGGTGAGGAGCAACTTCTTTACTGTTAGGGTAACAGAGCAGTGGAACAGGCTGCCCAGGGAGGTTGTGGAGTCTCCTACTCTGGAGGTCTTCAAAACCCGCCTGGATGCCACCCTGTGCCACATGCTGTAGGTGTGCCTGCTTGAGCAGGAAGGTTGGACTAGATGATCTGTAGAGGTCCCTTCCAACCTTAAATATTCTGTGAATCTGTGATTCTGTGAATCTGTGACTCTGGTGTGTTCCCTCCATGCACTGGGCCACAATGGACCTGCAGCTGCTCGCACAGCTCTTTGCAGGCAGCAGCTTGTTCTTCCCTACCAAGTTGTGCTGTTGGAGAACTATCAACCTTTTGAGCAGCCTGCTCAAAAGCCTCAGGCAGCTCATACATCCCGGAGTCAGGCCCAGGCCATCCCTCACCCGGCCCTTAGCTCCCTGCGAGCGTGTGGAGGCGCAGGCCTGTGCGAGCACCGGGGCGCGAGCGCGGGCGGCGGGTCCCTGGTAGGCCGGTGGCCGCCAGGCGCGCGGCGCGTCCGCGTGTTTGCGGCAGCGCGCTTTGCTGGGGCCGCCTTGGCAGCGCGGGCAGGCGGGCGCCGCCGCCTCGGCTGCTCCGCGCCCGCCCAAGCGCCCAGCCTCACAGGTGTTCCCGGCTCCCGCCGCCCCTCAGCGCTGCTCTCCTCGGCTGCCCTTTCCCTCAGGGCCCCGTTGAGGCGCTGCCCTTCCCTCAGGGCCTCATTTTACATCTCCACCCTGAGGCCCCTCTCTGCAGTTGTCATGGCGATTCCTCAGCGCCAGAGCCGCCCCTCTTGCCTGCAGGTGCCTCGGAAATGCCCCTTTCGCCCTGCTCTCTGTAGCGGGACAAGCAGCCGCCCCGCGACAAGGCACCTCGGGGGGCTCGCTGCACGCTCAGCTCCGGGCTCCTGCTCAGCACTTCCCTGCGGACGGAACTGCCTTGAGGCCGCGATCGAGGAGCCGTGGCCCGTGGCGCTGGGCTCCGCAGTGCTGCGCCAGCGGCGGGTGTTCCCGTGCCCGCCTCGCCTGTCCGTGCTGCACAGGTGGGAGGCTGCTGCTGCCCCGCTGCCACGGGGTGGCAACGAACAGCTCTGCCTGTGGCTTGGGCCCAAGAGGGGCCTGCTGAGGTTGTGCTCTGTGAAAGCTGAGGGTGAAGAGCGAGGAGCCACCGTGCTATGGTGGCCATTCAGAGCACCTCTGGGCCCTCTGCTGCTCTCCGGGCCTCCCAACGGTGCTTGAGGGTATCGCCCCAACTGAGCGGAGCCAGCTTAGGTGCCGATAGGAACTGTCTCACCACGGCGCTGTGTGCGTGCCGCTGGGAGCAGATAATGGGAACTCCTGGTCCTTTCCCTTCCTCCTGCACAGCTGGTGGTGGCAGGAAGGGAAATGGCAGCTCACCCAGGGGAAGCCGTATGAGAACACACTTCCAGGCCCCCCAAGCCCCAGGGTTAGTTGGGACATGATGGCATTTGAATGCACAACACACTGTGGAGTCTCTCTGCTTGTCACCTGCTGTTTCAGCCTTTGCCACTCACATTTTCAAGCTTTTGTGCAGTAGCTACGAGGACGGGCTATTTCATATTGAAGTGACAACTGGCGTCCTCCCCTCCTCACATGGCTCCAAGAGGTAAAGCTTTAAAATAAAAAGCACCCAACACCACAAGGTTTAAAGCAAGCTCAAAGTACCTGCCACAAGACATGGATTTGCAGTTTGTTGCAGACTGGACAATGAAGTCCATCAGCTCTGATTCCCAGGGCCCCACCAAGCTCAAGCCTTCTCCTCAGTTGCAGAGGGGAGGAGACTCAAGCATTAGCCTGCAGCTTAGCCTGGCGGGAAGCTGTGCGGAGACGGATGGCAGCCACTGGAGAAAGAGCTCCCATTCTGTGGTAGCCCCTGGAGCACCTTGGGGCCGGGCGGCTCTACCAAGCTGCAGTTGTGATGACTCCCATCTCCACCCGTGTGCAGGTTCACAGAAGAAAACAGGTCCTGGTCTGGAAAGAGGCAAAGCTAGGACCGGCAGCAGCAGCCGCAGGCCCCGGGCTGAGGCGCTGCCCACACAGAGGCAGGTTGGAGATGCTCGAGATGCTCTCCACCGGGTAGGAGATGTGGGCAGCAGGAGGGAGGAGCAGGACTTGCTGCTCTGGCAGGGACAGGCAGCGAGTCCTGAAGGTCTCTGGTGGTGTCACCAGCCCCAGGCTGGATGCAGGGGCTACGGAAAAGCAGCGGTGACCACAGCACTGTGTACGGGGAGCTGATCTCCAGGAGCTGCTGAGGCCACAGGAGTCACAGGGCTTCCTTGGCCCAGCTGGCCGGCGGGTGCGTGCCGAGACCACCCTCACTTCTCTCAGAGCTCGTCGCCCGAAAGAGGAGGCAAGTTTGGCAGGTTTGGCGTTAGGGGGCCCAGCTGCGGAGGCTGCGTGCCCGCCGGCAAGGAGAGGCCGAGCACTGCCACCTGATGCCGGCGACCTGGGCTGCAAAGCTCGCCTGAGGCCTTCCCCACGATGTCCGGCTCTTCCCACGCCCGTCTTCGGCTCCGCGCAGGGATGGGCACCTGATTGGAAGCCCTTGACAGTAAATCAGCATTTGGGCATGCACAGGGCAATTCAGACGTGTAAGTGACACAGGCAGTTTCCAGCCTGGGAGAATTTATTTTGATTTTCATTCTGCTTTTTTGCAGAGCGATTTATTCTTCCTTTCCCATCCAAAGTTGTGAGGTCGCTCTCTGCAGTGGAGCACTCATGTTGCTCCATCCCAACCCCAGGGGAACAGCCTTCCCCCCAGAAGTACTCAGATCGTTTATCCATCTCCACAGGAGACAGCTACAGCAATACAGATGTTACAAAAGAGGCAGAGTGTCTTTTATAGCTCAGAAATGATATGTGATTGATCAGTTTGGAAGAAAAAAGAGAGAACAGAGTGAGGGTAATAAACTATATTTATGAGGTGAGCAACCCTGGGAAGTGGTGTGCATTTCTGAGCTGAGTCTGTCATGTTTGAATGTTATTTGTTTTTAATGTAGAAAACAGGATGAGCCGTGAGGCAGTAATATTGCAGAAGGCCGGAAATGTGTTTATGCCCAGGTAAGCCTGGAGGGAATTACGCAGTGCTTTGAAGATCCCTCCTCAGGCTGAATGACTGTGTAACAGGCCCAACATATGCAACAGAAAACCTATTCTGAAGACGAGGGCGAGTTCATTCAGAAAATGATCTAATTGTCACTGTGGGCAGTTTAGTGAAGAAGTAAATGAGTGTGTAATTGTGGTTTAAAAGAAAGGCAAATAAAAAGAGGGAGATAAAGAAACAATGGGAGAAAAAGGCATACTCCACATGGGTCATTATAGACATCAGGGAGGCTTGCACCTCTGTAAATTCTGTTCTGGTTTGGTCACCTGCTTTCAAGAGTATTCAGTCTTCCATCTCCAGTAAAAAGCTGCTGAGGAAGCCCAGTTACTAGCTTGAACAAGATACTTAACTATTAGGTGTCAAACATTATATGTAATGATGGTCACAAAGGAGATTATTGACAAAGCATGAAGTTACACCTAGCCTCTGAAGTATGAACCTCTGGAACCATCCTCTCTTTTAAGATTGTAAATAAAAAGAAACCCTAAGCTAATAAAAGCAAATGGTGGTTTTGCCAGAGGCACGATCAATCTGTGGAATTCTTCCCTGGTACTTGCCACCAATTTGGGAATGCAGCGGGGCTCAAGGAAAGATCCGACAGTTCCATGAACCAGAAGTGATGACTTTGGCTAGGAGGAGACCGTAAAGCTTACAAATCACGCCCTAGGGCGTAGGCAACCCCTCCCTGTCAGGAGCCAGGGAAAAAAAATTCTCCGTGAGAACGTTACAGTGTAATTGTCTGTGACAGTGGTTCTTCCTTGGAAGAATGTAATCTTGACCAGTGGAAGCAAGATCCTAGGCCATGCAGCTTTGTGAAATGTTTTGTGCCTGCGGCATTATCTGATGCCTCGTGGTGTTTTCCTTCTCCTTTTCGGTATTATAGTATTTGGTACTAAAGCAGTTTCTTCAGGGTTATATTCATCTCCTTTCTAACCGTCTCAGCCAAAGACAGCTCTGTTCTTTGCCCTCTGTGAAGAATTTTGAAGTCAGTAGACCTCAACAACAGGGAATTATTCTTGCCATTCACACTAGGTTTTCTTCTGCCTGTGTTTGCTCCAGTTCTCTTGGGTGAATTTCCTGGAAGGACCTCAAGGACACCCTCCTTCGCTGGGGCTGCGAACCCTGGTTTTTGTGTCCGCTCCTGTTTATGGTCTGAGCTCTCCGTCTGTTGTAGTGACATCCTGTTCTTGTTTTGTTTTCTATATGTTACTGATGTGATGTCCTTTGATCCAGGCTAAAGGTATTATTTTCTTTTTAAGCTAGGTAGTGAGTGCTGACTTGACATATTTTATGTCTCTTGCTTGATGTCTTGCAGGAGGAACCGAGGAGCAAATCCAAAATCTGCGCCAATGTTTTCTGTGGAGCTGGACGAGAATGCGCTGTGACAGAAAAGGGAGAGCCAACCTGCCTCTGCATTGAGGTAGGGAGGCAGAAGAGCTTCTGCATCTGGGGCAGGCATCACAAGCCCCCCACCCAAGGCTGGGTTCAGGTCGCTGGAAGGGTCCCATGGCACCGTGGGGCTGGAGGCCATCAGGGGCAGCTGCAAGTTCAGGGTTTTTTCAGACAGCGGGACCTGTAGCTGTGCTTCTGACACAACTGTCTGGAGTCTCTCCTGGCAGGGATGGCTTGGCTGGAGGCCTCTCTTGTTGGGAGAGCCTGGTGGGGTATTGATACGCAGTGGGTGCTGTAAGGAGTGGCCTGCAAGCTCCAAGGCAGCCCGCTCTTGCTGGAGCCCAGCTTGAGGAGCTTACAAGCACCCTACTAAAAATCAGCTCCCCTAAAATGGAAACAATTTTGGCAGACCACTGTGGGGATAAATAGGTTTGTAAATGGGGATAACTAGAGAGCCTGGAGGGTTCAGAAGCGCCGCTCCCAGCCATACAGCAGCAAGCTCTGCGGCTGTGCTCTGCCCTCGGCTTCACAGCCGCTCCTGCCAGGCCTCCGGAGACGGGTGTGCGGCTCTGTGCTCCCCCTGCCCTCAGAGGCTGCACACTGGAAGGTGAAAAGCTCCATGAACAGGAAGGGAGTCTAACCCCTGGCTTGCCTTGCCCAGGCTGACAGAGACGCAGAAGGAAGTGCACAGCAGAAACAGTGACACTGGAGAACTCGCGCTCTGCTGCAGGCACTTGCTCTTGGCTGCTGGCTGGTTCTAATTTCAGTGGCAGAGAGGTGGTTGTGACAGAGCTACCTGCAGGTGCAAGCAGAGGTGTCCAGAACATGCTCAGTAAAACACTTCCAGAAAGGCACATCCATGACATGCAGAGAGGCAGGTGCAGGTTTATGCTCAGCCTTTATTCTGGGCCCTGGTTTCTCTCTGACATGTTCTGATTCCTGGAAGGAATTCCTTTATGATGATGGAGCTGGGGCTGGAATAAAGGAAAGCATCTGAGTCTGCACCCATGGGCTCCTCTGACCCTGCAAGAGTTTTCCTGGGGTGGGCATGGGAATGCTCAGCCTGTTCCAAACACCTTTGGGAAAAGACAGTGACAGAAAAGTTGAGCTGGGTTGATGCTGGGACTCATCTGCCTCCCTCTGTCTGTCCAGAAGGGACAGGTACGAAGCTCTCTTCTCTAATTCTCTCACAGCAATGTAAACCTCACAAGAGGCCTGTGTGCGGTAGCAATGGCAAGACATACCTGAACCACTGTGAGCTGCACCGGGACGCCTGCCTCACTGGCTCCAAGATCCAGGTGGACTATGATGGCCACTGTAAAGGTAACCCCGTGACAGAAAGCAGCCAGGGCTGGCTGCTCCCTAAGCTGGGAGCAGAGCATGATAATGTGGCCAGCAGGGCAGGTGCGTTACCAATCAGGGACCCCTCACACAATGACCAAGCAAGGGAAACCAGGAAAGCCTGGGAACAGAAGGCAGGCTCAACCAAGAGCCCAGATCATCAGGCAAGTTTGTGATGATGAAGTAGGTCCGAGATCAAGCCATGAAGTCAGGCCTGATCAGGTCTGATGATGGTAACCAAGGTCAAAACCAGAACCTGAACAGCCCAGTGATTGCCGCTCAACTCCAGAGTGATGAAGCAGGTCCTACATCAAGGCAGGAAGGTAGCCTGGAGGTCAGGGATCAACAGGATCTGTGGCCAGTTGTAGACTGTAACAAAGATAGTGATGGGCAAACCTACAGCATTTCTAAAACAAAATCTAGGGGCCCAGGACTGGTTTTAAATGTAGCTCTTGGGCCAATGGGTAGAGTATGTGGGTGAGACCCTCAGTAACATTGGTAAGGGATATTATGGTCCATTAGTGCACTTAGGGTCCTGACACCCTGGCTGTGCTGGACACTCGGAGCTATTGTCTGCCTGTGTTGCAGGAAACCTAGTAAGTAGTTTTTCCAAAGGCTCCCAGGCTCTTCTGCACTTGCCCATGTTCTTGTCAAGACGAGAAAAAGCTCTTACTGCTTCATGTAGCATCACAAATGTCCTTTCCTTTCTTCATTAACAGAGAAGAAGTCTGAGAATCCAGCTGCAAGTCCAGGTGAGAAGCCATCTCCTTACTTTGCTAGGACCTGGATGTGTATTCAGGAAGAGAGGCAGGAGGAAGGTCTTCTGGGGCAGTTGCAAGCTCTGTATTAAGGTGGCAGCTCTGCGCTGGCCGTGGCAGGGTCTGAGTTGATAAATCAGCTGATGCATGATTGTCCAGCTCCATACTCCTGGTAGCCTTCACTGCTCACACACACCTCTCCTGATGTGTATCTCAGGGACCGCAGGTAGGCACAAGGTGAAAAGAATCCCGGTTTGCCTCCGAGGCCCCAAGCTGTGTTCATTGCCCAGGATGAGGGAGGAGCTGGGATGAGCTCCGGGGGGATCACAGACACAGTAATTGTGGAGCTGCTGCCCCCGGCTCCGTGAGCACTCTTTTCAAAGGAGACTTCTGCTTAGGAGGGATTAACAGGTAGGCCTAGGCACAGAGAGGCAGCACTGGTGAGGGGCAGAGGGTCGCTCAACCATCTGTCCCATCTACCATCAGGGCTCTTATTCCTGTGCTTGGCTTCCTCCCTTAGCCTTTCCATGTATTTTTGGGCTATGGAGTTGGGGGGCATGGCCTGTGCTACGTAAGGAGGCACTTTCTGTCCAAGGCCTCTGAGTGCTGAAGCTGTATAATGATTAACCTCTGTGTCCTCGGAAAGACGGGAACAAGCCCTTGTGGAAGCCTAAGGCAAAGACCTGTGTCAGGGTACAGCCATCACCCCAAAGTGCTTGAGGGGAAGTTCAAAATTATTCTTTTGTTCATCTGTCTATTTGATTGTGACTGCAGCAATTGGGTTTAGAAGGAGATTCTTTGTGTGCACAAGGGACAAAATTCATACTGCTTCCTCTTCTGACTCCATTGGCCTGCAGGCAGATGTGACAGCTCACGAAAGCCAGAAGACACAGGCTTTCCATTTTGCTGCTAAATACAAAGTTGGGTCCTAGTGACAGCCACCTAGAGAAATCTTGGACTGCAGAGCATAGCAAACAAGCATAATTTAAACCCGTCTAGTTTCCAGTCTACGTAGGCAAGCCAGGGCTTTGAAGAATTAAATCTCCGGAGATATTGGGCTCTGAGCCTGGAGACACTGTCCAAGGCCAGTCAGCTGCCTTCCTCCTTTATTCTTGGAGCTCTTCAAGCCCAGATGAGTCAGCTGGTTGCTATTCCACAAGCTTCAAGGGACTGGGAGAAAGAAGGGGGGAGGTGACAGTGTCATTTGCCGTCCTTGCCACATGGTGTCACCCACGGCCCAGCCACCGTGCAGCACAGGGCGCCTCTGCTTTGATCTGGCCGTGGCTCATCTCCAAGGAGCAAGGCGCCAGCAAACTGCCACCGGCGCTGCCCATCGCCTTTTTATTGCCAGTCACTGCTGCGGTCTCTCTGCCAACTTTGTTTCTCCCTTCCTTTCTCCCCCTGCCCCCTTCTTCCCATGACAGTTGTCTGCTACCAGTCGGACAGGGATGAGCTTCGGCGCCGCGTCATCCAGTGGCTGGAAGCTGAGATTATCCCGGACGGCTGGTTTTCCAAGGGCAGCAACTACAGCGAAGTCCTGGACAAGTATTTCAAGGCAAGGAGCACAAGGCTTGTCCCGGGGGGCGGCAAGCGCTGCTTGCTCGGTCACTGCAGGACAGCTGCCCGTCCTGCTCCGGGAGGCTCTCGTGTGCGGCGTGCCAGGAGCGACGGGCGCCACAGGAGTCTCCTATATCCTATAGCATCATGTGCTGTGAGCTGCCTGCAGCAGCTGCTGCCAGAGCCCCTCACACAGCCGCCGGGCAGCACGAAGCTGGAACATCTCTCTGGCTCCTGCTGTCTGGGCTGCCCTGCGGAAAAGGAGGAGGGAAGGGCAAACGTGCCTGAGGCAGCGGAGCAAGGATCAGTCTCAAGGGTCGGGAGAGAGCCAGAGGAGAAAGGTGGATGAAAGTGTTGGAAATACTGGAAGGAGAGGCAGAGGGAGGAAAAATAAGAGGCAGGCTAAGGAGCTTCCTTACTGGCTTGGTGCAGAGCCGTGCTGCGGTGGCAGGGTGTTGCTGATCCTTCGTTCCAGGCAGTCCCCAGGCCCCGGAGGAGAGGGAATACTTGAGGCTTTGAGGAGGGGGTCTCTGCTTGGGAGGGATAATCCCCGCTGTGGTGGAGCTGCTGGCCTACAGCCCCGTGCTGTGAGGGAGCAGCCTCCTGCAAGGCTCTCGCCCGGCGGGGAGCTGGTTTCTCCTGCCTGCTGGCAGCCAGGCCACCCTGCTGTCCCTTCCCACACGCCTGCCACGCTCCTGCCACGTGCGCCGCCCTCCCCGTCACCGCCTCCTCGCAGAGACCTCCCAGCACCCCGGGCGCAGCAGGTGGGGAGAGCACCGAGGGAGAGCGCTTAAATCAGGGGCTGCTGACAGCGAGAGATTCCTGGTGCCTGGCGGCAGCGGAGACATTCCTGGTGCCTGGCAGGAGGCCTTTGCCGTGGCAGTGGCACCCCCTGGGGAGACGGGCAGGCTGCTCCTGCGACGCCTCCTTGGCCTCTGATGCAGGCACCTTCTGCGGAAACCCCCAGGGAGCCTCCACCTCCTGGGAGCTTCCAGCACTGCCCCTGGGAGCCTCCGGCACTGCCGGCACCCGAAAGCTGCAGTGTGCCCATGAGCGGGGCCGCGTAGCCCTTTCCCTGCAAGGAAGTAGGGAGGCCTAGACCTTGAAAGACATCGTGCCAAGAGGCGTTAGGCCAGTCCTGGGAGGCTGCTCCATTCCAGAGGGCCTCTGGTGGGGAATGTAAATCACAGAATGGTTGAGGTTGGAAGAAACCTCTAGGGATCATCTAGTCCAACCCCCTGCTCCAGCAGGGACACCCAGAGCACGGGGCACAGGGCGCCATCCAGGTGGGTTTGGAAGATCTCCAGAGAAGGAGACTCCACAACCTCCCTGGGCAGCCTGTGCCAGGGATCTGGCACCTTCAGTGAAGAAGCTCATCCTCACATGGAGATGGCACTGCCTGTGTTGCAGCTTGCACCCATTACCCCTTGCGTTATCACTGGCCACCACTGAGATGCCGCCGCTAGCCTTGGGAGGTGCAGTAACAAGCCTAGCTGAGTCTGGGCCACTGAGGACTGTGGCCACTCTCAGAGGAAGTAGCCAGAGGCAAGGCCCTAAAGTCTTGTGGAAGTTGACGCCTGTTAAAGGGCAGTTATACACAGGGCTGCTTTCCTCGCCTTACTGACCTCTTGCTGAGGCACATGCAGCCCGGCTCCCTGGGCCCTCACTCCTGGTAACACTGTGTGAGGAGACACCGTAACCTGCCACACGTCACACTCCAGAAATGAGCCGGCGCCTCTCGCAGCAGCCTGTAGCCACAGTTCGTGTGTTCCCTCCCTGCAAGGCAGCTGTCTCCGAGGGGCCCAGCAGCTCGTGCTGCGCGCCCAGCACTGTCGATATGACAGCCCCAGACAGAAAAGCAGAATGCAGTTGCTGCGTTGGGAGGGCGGCCAGGGCTGGCGGGCTAAAAATCCTGCTCTTCAGTGCCAGGAATCCTGTCAGGACCTCCCAAAGTTGGTGGCAAGACATTGTGCTGTTGCATTAAATTGTTCCTTCTTTGGGATTGGCAGAAAATGACTTCCTGTGGTACTTCTTTTTATCACAGCCAGAGTCCAGATACAGCTTTGAGTTTGGATACATACGGGAAAGTTGGTGCCTTCTTGAACGCAAGTGCTTTGCTTTATGGCAGGATATATGAGGAGGCTAAAGCCTGACTGGAACAAAGAGAAGAAATGGGGTTAGAGCCATAAACCAAGCAGCAGGAGGTAAATGAGAGGCAGTGTAGCTTGTCAGTGAGCTCAAGGCTATGAGCACCTCTCCGCATTCTGATGCTAGCATGTATACGTTGCTGCTTTTCCCTGAGCCTCTGCAAAGCAGGGATGATTCAACGTGTTTCAGTAAAGCCTCCAAGGTGAGAAGTGCGTTCAGAAGAGAGAAAATAAAAGGCTTCCCAGAACTGTTAAATCAGACCGCCTCACATATTCCCATCTTTCCCTACAGAGCTTTGACAATGGTGATTCTCGCCTGGACTCCACTGAGTTCCTGAAGTTTGTGGAGCAGAATGAAACCGCTGTCAACATCACCACCTATATGGACCAGGAGACCAACAAGCTGCTCAGGTGGGGCAGTGGCAAGGAGGCCCGAGGGAGAGCCAAGGGGCAGGTGTTGTGGGTAGTGGCAGCAGCCCATAGAAGCTTGAAGGCCAGCTTGAAGACGCCTCTGCGTAATACCAGTCTGGACTGGCATCTGCCAAGATGCCTGTGTACAAATTGGCTTTCCACCTCATTAGATGTATGTGTCACCAAAGGGGCAGGCTCATCCTTACTCTTCACCTTAGACTACAGTCCTGCTCTCTTGCTCTGAATACAGTAGGTGTGCAGTCAGAAGATGAATTGTGTCGTGGAAAACTTGTGTGCTTTTTTTATTTCCTAGTGATTGAGTTTTCCAGCAGACCCTTCTTGCATCATAGGTGCTTGACTGGTAGACCCAAAACAAAAAGAATAAGATGGTGGGAATGTATAGCCAAGGATTGGGAGGAAACAGTGGGAGAACAAGCTCGCAGTAAGAGCTGGTGAAAGCATCACATGAAAACGTAGCTGGAGACCTTTCCCTTCTACTGTGTGTAAACACTGAAGAGAATGGGCTGCTGTGGGCAGGCTGTGCTTGTGTCTGCCTGAGAGGGCATGGAGGCCAGCACAGTGATGTTTCTGCTGGCTGATTCTTTCAGAATAACCTCCAGCTTCTCAGCCTATATCCAGTGAGTTTTTTCTGTCTTTTTATACATACAAAAGCTGTATCATCTCTTTATATATGCAAAAGCTGTAATTGACATCTTGAAATCTCCCTGGTTATTACTGTTTTTCCTCATCTGTACTCTGAAGCTGGTAGAGTAGGACCCAGAGCCTGCATCTGTTTCACACAGCATCACAGAGTGGTTGAGGTTGGAAGGGACCCCTAGAGCTCATCTAGTCCAACCCCCCTGCTCCAGCAGGGACACCCAGAGCACGGGGCACAGGGCGGCATCCAGGCGGGTTTGGAAGATCTCCAGAGAAGGAGACTCCACAGCCTCCCCGGGCAGCCTGTGCCAGGGCTCTGGCACCCTCACAGTGAAGAAGTTCTTCGTCATATGCAGATGGAACTTCCGTTACTTCAGTTTGATTCAGTTTGTTTCAATTTGTGTTTCGATTCCTTTCAGGGGACTCTGCGTAGATGCCCTCATCGAACTGTCTGATGAAAATGCTGACTGGAAACTGAGCTTCAACGAGTTCCTCAAATGCCTCAGCCCATCCTTTAACCCACCAGAGAAAAGTAGGAACTCCTCCTTCTTATTGGGGAACCAGTGGGAACTCTAAGAAAGGAGGAAGGACACCAGCTTTAACCATTCCTAGGGTGATGTTAGTGTTCCCCTGCCTCCTGCCGTACAGCATCCCTTGTTCTGTGAGCCTGGGGCTGTCAAAAGTCCTGCTTTCTCTGTCCCAGGGCACCCACAGCCCTTGTGCTCAGAAAGGTATGGATTTTAGAAGCAAGGACGTAGGTCAGGTGGGTACAGTATGCGTGGAAGGTCAAGGCACGTATTTAACAGTGCGGAGAGAAGTCATGTGAGGAGTTCATGTCGGAATAACTTGGGAAAGTCAGACCAGAGCAAAGTCCTGCTGCGCTCTGCCTTTCACACAGACACCCTCCCTGGTGAACATCTCAAAGTTCACCACCCTTTCAAACTGTGCTGCACTTTCCTGGGAAACAGCTCCCTGCTGGGCTGGCGGAGCATTCCTGGCCATCCATGCAGTTGTCTCCTCGGGAAGGGGGTTGCACCTGCTGCTCCGAAGGTGCCGGATTTGCATCCCACTACAGTGGCACCACCTGCTGACAGAGGGGACGCTTCTCAGGGAATGTTAAGTTGAACTGTCTGCTTCCTGCATCAGTGGGAAGCTAGGGATGTTGCAGCTCTCCCTGCAAACATGATCAGCTGATTTTCACCTAACACGAGCTACTCCCTCAAGTGCTTTGAGGTCCTTGAGTTAGCTGCAGAATAAAGCTGTGAGAAGGCTTATGTACTGAAATGAGGAAGCTTTCAGAGTAACCCAAACATTTCCCTTTGGAAGTTCTCTCACATATATAACAAATCAGGAGATGCAAGCAAATCTAATGTTGAGATTTCATTTGGAATTGAGAAATTGCCATCTATTATTTTGAGGAAGTCAAAGTGAAATGTTTGACTTTCCCCAATATTTTTTGACTGATTTCACACAGCAAATTGGAGATGAATATTTTAGCCCTTATGTTCTGCCAGCAACCGTAATCTTTGCGTAGGGGGAAGAAGGCTTCTTTGAGAAGGTTCTTCCTCCTTCCCCTCAAAGCGTCTCCAGAGCCTGTTCTCCCCTGCCAGCTCTGTATCTCACAGTCACTGCTCTTGTTTTGTCCCTCTCCAGAGTGTGCTCTGGAAGATGAAACCTATGAAGACGGAGCAGAGACCGAGGTGGAATGCAACCGCTGTGTCTGTGCCTGTGGGAACTGGGTGTGCACCGCAATGACGTGCGAGGGTTTGTGTGCTCCCCACAACATTGGTCTATTTAGTTCTGTGCAAAAGGGGCTTTTACTTTCTAGGTTTTGCAGCGTAGCAGCTCTCCAGATCCCTTCTCTTTCCCGTTCTTCGTAAGATTGTCTGAGAGTGGCTTCTATGCAGAAGCCCCCCTCCTGTGTTCCCGTTTGGCCAGAACCCAAGCTAGTTCTGTTCTACAGATGGGAAAATGTATTCCTGAGCTGGGGGAAACACTGCTGGGGTTGTGGGTTGGGTTTGGTGTCAGGAAATTTCAACCCCCAATTTTCCAGACCAGAGCTATTTTGCATCCGGCTGGCTTGGGGCATGCACAAATCAAACATGTGACTGCCTGCAACCGTATGTGTAGGTGGGAGCAAGTTACCTTTCCTATTTGTGTCTCAATATCTCACTGTTTCTCTATTTACAGTACCATAAAAGAGGTCCTGTCTTGCCCCAGACAGGCAATACAAGACGTCAGCTGATAATGTCAGAAAAACACTTGACATTCTTGTAATAAAAACCCTAGAAGTAGAAAAAAATAACGGTGGTGGAACTGAAGAGAGGTAATGTTTGCATGAAGGCAGGGTAGTTGATCTATCTGTTGGTTCTCTGGCAGGCCCTTTTTAAACTTTCACAGCTGTGTAATGATTGTGGGAGGCCCTAGTGGGGCTCTGAAGCAAGGCTCTGCATTCTGCCTTCTCCCAAGTGTTTAAATGTGCTGGGCTGGTTGGAGGAGCCGGGTGCACCCTGCCAGTGCCAGGCTGCCTCCTCCTGACCTTCCTCCCTAGGGCAAGGCCTTGGCTTGAGCTTTGTGGGCAGCAGTGGGCGAGTGCACGTCTGTAGCCAGGCGGCGTTCGCTAGGTTGGGCAGGGAAGGAGCAAGGGAAGTGGCAGGGATGTGCGGAGTTCCTGTCACAACAGCTGCCAGCTGCATGCAGCAGGGGCTTTGTGATCACTCTGTCCCACTCTGCTGGCTGCAGTAGCAGGAGCTCGTCTGAGAGAATTGCAGTGCAGTACCAAGAGCTGCCTTGAACTCTCAGGGGTTAGGGAAGGACTTGAGGGACTGAGTTTTGCTCAGCCTTGGAAGCAACCCTCAAAGTTGCTGGGCAGAGTGCGGTGTTGCTGCCTCCCTTGCTGCACAGCCGTGCCGGCAGCATGCAGCCGGACAGGAGTTCCTTCACTTTCTGCCCGTGTCTGAGCAGCAGAGCAGTTAAAAGCTGTTGTTAGGGGGTGAAAGCAGCAGCTCATGTGGGTGAGATGCATCAGTCTTCGCTATGCGAAATTCCTTCTTTGTTAGGCACGGGTTAGCACGCAGCCACCATTTATTCCCTACAATAGACCCGAATAAGCAGCTCAATGGAGCGCTCTGTTTATATTCTTATCTGCTAAGAAGTTTAGTTTATCCAGCCAGGATAATTGAACTAAGGATGCTTCTTGTAAGTAACAGTGGAGGACAGCAGCATGAAGCCTCTTCCTTGTGGCTTTATTTGAAACCTTAAGACAGGGAGGGGGGCAGGCTGGATACTCAGCTCCTGAAGCCCCAGGCAGCCACGTTCCTTTTCAAAGCAGATTTGGGCAGCCCTCCCAAAATCTCCTTAGCCTTGAGATACACTGTGGTCTGACGCAGCCTCAGGCTAGCCTGCCTCTTCCGTTCTCCTGAGCTCACACTCTGAACTGCGCATCGTCCCCCCCCATTCCTGTTTGAGTTCAAAGTACTGAACTGCATTTCTGTTTGCAGGGAAGAATGAGAAGGTCCCTGGTCAGAGACGGCACCCTGAGCAAGACCTGACTGAGGAGGAGCTGGCTAGATACGTTCAGGAACTGCAGAAGCATCAGGTAAGCGTGGAGCTGGGAACATCTGCTTACACAAAGTCCCTCCTCACTAGAATTCCCTCTGTCTCTGCCACTTGGAGACTCCCTGGTAGATAGGGGAACACCTTATTCTGCAAAGAGCAGTCTTCCTTCTTGCCTGTGGAGACTAGTACCCGTGTGTGGCTTTCAGGCAAGTCACTATTGGTGCTGTTTGTGGGTGGATAAAGGCTTTGGGGAACTGCAAGTGCCTTTGCAGGTGCAGAGCTTCATTTCTGTGCCCTCTTCCTCTAGGAGACGGCTGAGAAGACCAAGCGAATGAGCACCAAGGAGATGTAAGGGGCCTCCCCACAGGAGGAGGCCAGGAGGATGGGCCCAACTGCCGCCCCGTCCTCCAGTGCTGATCTCAGTATGCACCAGTGTCTGCTACAGTCGCCCAGTCACAGATATTTACATTGTATAGCGATGGGTTCTTTGTTTTGTAATTCACAGAGAAATGGGGCCAGGGAAGGGGAGCAGAGCCCACCTGTTCAGGGAGCTTCATTGCTGGGGCCTTGGAAGGCTGGGAGCTCCCCCAGGTCATTGTGGGCTCCAACACAACAAGGTTCCTTTTGACCTCATCTCGCTCTTACTCCCTGCTCGCTCCGTAAAGGTGCTATCGTATTTTTTCTTATCACATTCACATGCTGACTCCCCCTTTTGTTTTGTTTTGTTTTTATTACTTTATTTCCTAAGGTAGTAATTCAGCTTTTGTATGTTTTGTAGCTCTAGATCCTTCAAGAAAACCCAGCTTGTGGGGTTTCGTTCCTGCGAGTGTTGTAATGCCCATGCATAGTTTTATCACGCTGCACTCAGCCACACAAGCAACACAAGTGACTTGTGAGCCCGACACTACAGGGTACTTCTGAGTTGGGGATGACCGTGTCCTTCATGAGGAGAAGAGATGGGGCTGGATGAAATCGGTTTCCCCTGACACGGATCGACACTGCGGCTCGCTCTCGCTGCCTTGGCCAGCACCGATTCTGTGCTCAGAGCCCAGAGCCCTTGCACAACCCGCCCTAAATTGCCCAGAGGGAAAAGCCAGGTAGTCTAGAGACAGGTGGATTGGGCAATTGCATTAGTGGGGGATTTTAAAAGATGTAACTACATAGAAGACTGTTCAGCTGGAGTCTGGGTGAGGTTAGCTCTCTTCCTGGGTCTCCGTTTCTGGCCAGGATAAGGCAGCAGCTTTCATTGGTCCCAGGGCTGGATTTGGAGTCAAGGCTCGAATCCTCATTCTTGAGGCTTTTACCAGTGACTCTGATCTGACCCTCTTTGGCAACTGTTGCATCCCTTCATGGGTCATTTTTTCTGGGCTCTTTCACAGAACATTGGTCCTGGTTAAGAACGTAGTGCTCTTTTTTTGCCAATCACCTCTCTAGCCTCAAGCTCTGCTGATTTTCTCCTGAAGTTGGAAGATGTCCTTCCTAGTGCTTGCATGAGCAAGCAACCTGTGTCCACATTCCTTTCATGTCCCTGCTGTGCATCCCAAACAGTTGCAGATAGCCAGCGTTGAGAGGGCTGCCTATGACTTCGATCTTCCCGATCAAAACCAATTCCAGTGATTTTTGCCGAGGTATTTTGTGATCCTTAACGCTTACTCAAGCGAAACTTCCACCTGCATCAGCAGAAGGTTGTTCCACTTGAGTGAGGATCAGCAGGGCTTGTGTCCCAAGCACCCCCCTCACGCACAGGGCTTGAAAAGGCAGAAGGAGCTTGTGCCTAGCAAGTGCAGGAGAGGAAAGCCTGGTCCCTGCTATGGTCTGGCTTTTGCGGTGGGGATCAATCCACCCCACATGCTTAGAAATCCCAGCATAATAAATACAAAGAGGGCCTGGTTCTTCTGCTAACATGGTCCAGATTTGGGCCAGTGCTACCGCCTGTGGAAGTGAGGAGGGTCGGTCCGTACGAGATGAGGGGAAGGCCGAGTCTGAGAGCAGAATGGCACTACAGTGGAAACAAGGTCAAGAACAAGTCAAGAACAAGTGCCGAACAAGAGTCAAGTTGTTTGTGTTCCCTCATTCCCAACAGTGGTGCTGGAGGAAGTGGTTGGTGGAACAGGAGCATCCCTTAGACACGTCTCAGGGATCACTCCTCCCCAATAGCATGAGTGAAGCAGCTTCATGTGGTGCCTCTGGAGTCCCAGGAACATTGTTAATAAATATTTTGCTTTATTCCAGTCCTATTCTAAAAGTTAGTGGTGCCTCCCAACTCACTTCCTCCCAGCTCACATCATTCAAGTGCCTTAGAGAAAACACAGCAACTCGCCTTAAAGGCTTTCCCTGGACGGGAGCAACCTCTTACTGTCCTGGCAGGCAGGTCTCCAGAAGGGAGAGCAAAGCCTGTGTAGATCAGAGGGGCTAGCTCGTAGCCCGAGGGCTTTTGTAGTGCGCAGTCCCCTCTCGGTGGGCTTGCTGTGGCTGTGCGGTCCCCGAGGCCGGAGGCGTGGGGACGGGCTGCCGCGTCTCGAGGACGCCGGGCTGCGTCCCCTGAAGAGCCCGCGGCGCCACCGCCGCGCGCCCTGGGGTGAGGGCAGCCGACGGAGGCTCCCACAGGAGGAGCTGCCGCTCGGGCAGCCTCCTCCTCCCTGGGACCCCAAAGGGAGAGCGGAACCAGGAGAGCGATGCCGTTCCCAAGGGCTACGCCAACCAACCAGCCTCCCCTCGCGGAGGGAAAGGGCAGCCCCCGGCCAGCCAGGCCCAGGCTGGGCTTCCGCTGCCTTTGGCGGGATGTGCTGGCTGGTGGGGAAGGGGATGCTGAATGCCCGATGTCCCGGGGACAACGGCTGCCGAGACTGCAAGGGCAGGGAAGGCTTCTTCATTCTTTTTTTTTTTTTTTTTTTTTTTTTCCAGAAAGTCAAAATTAAGGAAAAAAAAAACAAAAACCCCTTCCACTCCTCCCTCTATATTCCCTCCTGTACGTGTGTGAAGTTTATCAGTATTCTGTAGGTTTTCTTAGTGCACTTATTTTACTTGATTTTGTAATTTTTTTGAAGCAGGGGGGTTTGGATATTACTGCCAAATAAATGAAACAACATTTTAAAAAGAGCATTCGTTTTCTTTTGTTTCTGAGCTCTCCCTACAACCTTCTTCCTTTTCTCTTGCCTCCTCCCAAAAATAATAGGAAACTCTCCGCCTATCCCACAGATCCGTCTGCCCTCCTGTGCCCAGACCCTACACACGCGCGACAAGCGGGAGCTGCCGTGGCTGTCGCTGCGCGGCTGTCGCAGGGTATTTCTGAGATTGCAACCACGCTCTCAGGTTTTAGACCCAAGTTGTCTACGCTCTCTTTTCCCATGCAACCCAAGAGCCTTTTGGATGGAGAATGAAGCCTATGTCTCATTTTCTGGAAAAAAAAAAATATTTAATGGAAACCAAATCCCCACCTGCAGTGTGGTTAGCCCAAGGCAAACCTGTTTGCTGCCACTTAAGCAGTTCTAGCAGTTCTTCACTTAACAATAACCCCTTGTTCTTTCCGCAGCAATTAGTTATTCTACACAGCACACTTTAAGGCATCTCATAAAGCCCTATTAAAACCATGAATATTATCTTTGATTCACTTTAGCAATACTCATTAACCTCTGCTTCTTTCCCCCCCGCCTCGTTAGCCCTCTAGTAAGGGGCAGCTCCCCTTACCCCAGCTTTTCCCTACCTTCCCAACAGACTGTCTTGTTCCTATTGCATTAGACCTGCCTGAGGGAATAAATGTCTCTGCCATTGGTCTCCTGGAGCCACTGGGCCCCTGCACGTACACGAACACACATCCTATGCACACATATATGTCTCGAGCAAGAAGGCTGAAGTTGGGCTCTTTGGTAAGGAACCCTCTGGGGACTGCTTGAAGTGTTTCCCTGCCTGCACCGGGTGCTCCCTTTGTGCCCCAGCACAGGCGAAACCTCTGAAACCCATGTGCTGTCAGGTGGCAGGAGAGCCACCAGGAAGCTACGCAAGGTCAGGGTGGGGGAAGGTGCAAGTTACTCAGAAGACGGGTAAAAATCAGACATAACCCCCACCAAAATAAGAAGAAACGAGAAATTGCCGTTTAATAAGGACCGGGCTAGAATTTTACAATTTTCCCCCTTGATTTCTGCTCCTTCCTGCAGGCTGGTGCCTAGGATGCAGTTCTGGATAAAAAGGCTGGTGCGTCAGCAGAGTGCAAGCCACAGGTGGCTTTGGGTGACATGGGCATGAAAAAAATGCAAAAATTTTTTAGCATTTTTACAGGGCACAGCCTGTAAAACATGGAGCAATCACTCTGTTCCATGTGGCATCAGGGAGGCTTTTGCTGGCATGCTTGCTGGGCAGCGACTTCAGGAAAGAGATAGATCAGACGGAAAGAACCCAGAGACAGGCAAAAAATAATGAATGGTCTTGAAAATATGGTGTGTGAAAACAGATCAGAAGCTTCAGGTATAACTAAAAGAAGAAAGGGAACTTCTCTAAACATCCTCGGTTTTTAACCCAAGGGATGGCAAAGGAATGGAAGATGTTTGCTTGAGGTTTCACAGTCTCCTTTCCCGAAGGTCTTCTAAGAACAGCCTAAATCAGCAGCTATTAGGAACGGGCAATGTGTAGCTGATCCTGTTCTAACACAGGAGAACAGACTGGTGACCCTACTGAGTCCTGAGTGAGTGGCTGAAGTCACCTTTGCCCAACGGAGTGATGAAACAGCTTTTCAGGGCGCTGGGTTACATGAACATAACCTCTCCACATTCCTCTCTCGAACAAGTCTAGTGAATTTCGCAGCTTTGCTGCCGTGAGCTCTTCTGCGCAAGTGACAGTCCGAAAGAACAGAAGGTCGGGGTACTTTGTTTTGGTTGATATGCTCCTTTCTAAGCTGTTAAAAAAATAATATTGCTTCTCACACGTTGCTTTTTGAATCGTAACAAATAATGCCCAAATTACATCCCTACTGCATACCAGCTGCTGTGTATATGCTGTCTTTGTATGTCTTTGTATGTGAATGCTGTCTTTGACACAAGCATTCCCTGGCCATTCTCAGCTTTAAAGCAGGTTTATCTCCCTGCTTATTTTTTGCTGCTGGAATTTCCCAGGATTTGAGGAAGGAATGAAGCAAAGTGTTAGCTGACAGTTTGGCTAGGTGGCACTGCAAATACTTCATCCTGGGCATGCCTACTGAAGCTAAGTGATTTCAGGTGGTGGGAGAGAGGAAGTCTGCTCTGCATGGCTTGGGAGGAGCTCTCTACAGCACGGCCTTCCTCAAAGGCTGGGCACAGCTGTGACAACTCACGGCGCTCAGGTAAAGGAGCTGTCCCTTCCAACGGAAATCCAGAACCTCAAGTCACTTGCTCTTGTAGCAACGTGTAGCATGATCCGGTGCCAAGATGCAGCCTGCATCGCACATCTTAGCCTGGCAGGCCCAGCGAGGGCTGTGGGGAGAGCGAATCCCCAGCGAACCCTAGTGAGCCCCTCCTGCGGCTGTCCTTGCTCACGAACCGAGCTGTCCTTTGGCATGTGGTTGGAGACATCTCAAGGCAGCTCTGCACACACAACCTTACTCCAGCACTGCACCAAGAGGAGGTCTCCAGGGCCCCTTTCCAGCCCCCACCTTGTCTTGGTGCAGACACGCTTCCCTGGGCAGAGAGGACCAAAACCAGGATCATTTAGCGGGCAGCTTTTACAGCACCTAACCACGGGGACACTGAGAAATGCCATCTCCCCCAAAGAGCTGAACGGGAGGGTCTCTGCGGGAATCTGAGGGGCTCTCCGAGGATGTCGCTGCTGATGTGCTGGGACACACAGCATCGACCAGGGCAATATATGGGGCTGGGAAACAAGGGGGCTGGTGGGGCTGCTGGCCTCCCAAGTGGTGCTTGGACAGCCATGGTGCTTCAACCAGTGCTGCCCAGAAGAAGCTGGACAACCCAGGAGAGAGGCTGACTTGCATTCGCCTCCTCCGCCCTGCCCTTCCCTGGAGTTTTGCTCTGTTGGAGATTGGTGCTGGATTTGAGAGCAAAGATGGTCCCTGGAGGGAACAGATTCCAAAGGATTCCCCTCCTGGGCCCTCTCTGGGCACCCATGCAGAGCCCTGTGGGGAAACACTGACACCGGGAGCGCTGTAACCGTGAGGTGGGGTGTAACAACGGCAGTGCAAGCAGGGGTAACGGTACTGCGGGGGGAAATGTCAGGAGGGGGATAACGGTCACACGGGGTGGGTAACGGTACCACAGCAGGGGGGTAATGGCGGGAAGGGGATAACGGTCACACGGGGCGGGTAACGGTACCACAGCAGGGGGGATAATGGCGGGAAGGGGATAACGGTCACACGGGGCGGGTAACAGTACCACAGCAGGGGGGATAATGGCGGGAAGGGGATAACGGTCACACGGGG